ATCGGCGAAGGCGGAAAGGGGGACGGACAAATCCGGCGTGAAAGGTCCGTTGATGTGTGGCTCCAGCGTCGACAGGTCAATGGTAATCAGCTGGTCATACTCGGCACCGTTGTCGGCACGCAGAAGGTTCTTGGGACCAGAAGCGGCAATCTCCGCGGCCGCCTTGGCGACATCTCCACGGTGCGTCGCCTGCAGATATGGGATCATGCTGGGAGAGAATGGGAAAACCGAAGTGGTAGCACCCACCTCAGCGCCCATGTTACAGATAGTAGCCTGGCCAGTGCAGCTAAGAGTTTCCACACCCGGTCCGTGATACTCAATGATGAAGCCAGTTCCTCCACGGACGGTGAGCTTGCCTGCCAGGTGCAGGATAATGTCCTTGGGAGCAGCCCAGCCGTTGAGTTTGCCCTCCAGTCGCACACCCAGAACGCGAGGTGCCTTCAGCTCCCAAGGAGCATCAACCAACGCATCCACGGCGTCAGCACCGCCAACGCCAATGGCAATAGCGCCAAGACCACCCGCATTCGGGGTGTGGCTGTCAGTACCCAGCATCATCAATCCAGGGGCGGCGTAGTTCTCCAGGACGCTCTGGTGAATGATACCAGCACCGGGGGCCCAGAATTCAATACCGTAGCGTTTGGCGGCACTCTCCAGGAAATCGAACACTTCACTATTACCCTTGATCGATGCAGGCAAATCGGTGTCGGCGCCACGCTCACCCACAATCATATGGTCGCAGTGTATACTAGCGGGCACTGCGGTCGATGGGAGACCGCACGACATGAACTGCAATAGAGCCATCTGTGCCGATGCATCTTGCATCGCTACACGGTCTGGCTTCAACTTCAGGTTCGCCTTGCCGCGAATATCACGTCCATTGTCCGTGCCGGACAACAATGACTCCTCGGGATTCGCCAGATGGGCGTAGAGGATCTTCTCCGCTAGGGTGAGAGCCCGCGAAGAGCCCAAGACACGACGGACTTCCTCCAAGTTGCGCAGGATTTTGGGGTAGGGGGGCATGCGAGAGGACACTGAGGAAGCCTCCGTGGCCAGACCGCGGCGGTTGAACAGTCCTTGTGGGGGAAGGCACTTCGGAGCCAGCTATGATTCATACCGAAGGTTAGTACACGGTAGATGTATAGACCATGGAGGAGGAAGCAGGAATTGGGGTTACTTACCCTGCGAGAGGCGGTGGCCCGCTGCCAAACAAGCTGCCTCACCATCGTGCCGCCTGAATGTACGTGAATTGAGGAAGAAGAAAGAAGGACATTAGAATTGAGTTCGATGGCGATATTCTTTTATTTTGGCCTTTGGCTGCCTTTTACCTCCATGCTGATTGGACGGTCCCATCGCCGATGCCGGGCCGACATTCCCAAGGACCCATCTTACCGTACTGTACTCGGGGCCCCATGTCTCTACTACCAAAGTCTCGCCCGTTTTCACGTATGGTACCGTATTATCGACTTGATAAGTTTTGATATTAGTAGATTTGATGACAACTACCACATGGAGCAACACAGACTGCAATGCGCCAGAGAAAACGCCGATAGAATACGAGAACAGCAAACAGCCTCACGATCGCCGAGGTCGAACCAAGCCAAGTCCGTCCCAAGATGTCCTCTAGATCGCCATTAATACATGAGAGATGGTGAAGAAAAGGCCAAATCAGGCATGCCGGTCGTCGTCGTCCTGCACGGCCGCCCGCAGCTCCCATACAATGTCGTAACATTCCGCTAATAGTGCATTCACGCTACCCTGACCTTCGGGGATGTCGTTGCCCACGTAGAACTTCCCGTCTACTCGCATATTATCAATGGAGTTAAGCTGCGTCATATTAGCAATGTTTCGTGTACCGCGAATGTCCCAAACCCCCCCAGACTTACCTTCATACTATATGGGTAAAGTTCGCGCGAATTCGCTACGCCGCCAGACTCCTTAACCTCAAGGAGGCAGCGCTTCAGCGTTTGGAGCTGGTTATACACAGGTAACAATGCCTCAGATACCGGTTCTGACGAAATTAGAAGTGCATAGATGTATCCATAGCTCCTCCTGATCAAGTACAGAAGGGTCTACATGTTCATGTTAGCACACATGTTATTGTTGAGATGCACTGAATCCTTACCCGTTGCGCATGAATGTCCGCCAGTTGTCCTTCCGCATCAACAAAGTTTCCATTCACACGTGCTTCATCAATACGGTCAAGTTTTCGCTGATAGCCGAACAGGTCGGTCTCGCGGAGAGACCACGCTTGTGTTACAGACAGCCGATCAAGTTGGTTGCGAATGTCAACCAACCGCTCGTACTGGTCTTGGAACCGCTCATCAATCTTTCCCTCCCTGTTGCGGGTTAGTAGAGAAATGGTACGATTTGGAGAGAGAGAGAGAGATGTACCGTTGCAAAACAATCTCCGTCCACAGCCAGCATCGTTCTAATAAGCCTTTAACATTGTCCTGTCCAGGGAGAGGTTGCCCATCGGCACCGACAAAATTTCCATCTTTCAATGAATCCTGGATCTTCTTCAACTGATCCCGTAGCCCATTCACCTCTGATGCAGAGAACTAACATACACTTGGTTAGAATCTGCGGATGTGTAGGACTGAAAGGTGCACACCTTTGAACGGGTATTGACAGCAGATGTTGACCGCAGGATTGACACAAGTGTCTCATGAGTAGACACAAGTTCGGGGCTCAGCTGCGCCAGATCACTCTGCAACTTGTCCAATAAAAGTCGGCACTTCTCCAACCGGCTCTCCAAAAGTGTCAATAAAGCAGGCGAGTATACATTGCGACAGCGATCGATGGTCTCGTGAACATGAGCGAGAGTCTTTGTGATGGAGCTAAGATCTTTAGAACTGTAGAAGCCAGCCTCTTCCAGGTGGTCAAGAAGTCGCTATCTTAACGTTAGAAAGCGGAAGAGACGGAAGAAAGGATTTTGTCTTCAATTACCTGAACCGTCGTTGCCAAAGAATACCTTGAGTGCAGTCAATCGTCAGTCTCAATCAGGTCCGATCAATAACATATTATTGGGATGTACGTACACTGCAGGTGCCTCATTGTTCCGACCAACCGTCAAGAACAGCAATGAAATCAATTGAAAGCAATCATCCAGTACGTAGTCAACTAGAGCCTCGTGAAAATGGTAGCAGTCAGCAGGTCTGTTCTTATCCAGCTTACACTTAACGCAAGGCCCACTCAGTGCTAACGTCGGTTATGTGGCAGCCGGCGGTCTTTCCCCTTCCGGACGGCATTGAGCTTTTCCACCTCAGAAACCACCTCCTCATATAGCGGAAGCACGTCACGAGACTTGATATAAGAGGACTTGTCCTGCTTGATGAGCAGGAGAGCGTCGCGGGTGCGCAGCAGACGGTCGAGAATTGGCTGTTCTTGCGGATCTAACGGAGCGGGGACGGCGGGGGAATCCATGACGCCGGAGCGGGATACTTTCGAATGTACGAAGTAGTATGGGTGGGAGGAAAATGTCAAGTGATAGATCGGTAAGATATAGAACGGAGTGGTATCTGTAATTCGGAGATAACAGACCGCGAGAGATATACGGAGATATTTCGATTTAGAGACTAAACTGCATCATGCGGATCAGATGCAATCAGACGATGATGGCATGCATTGCCTATTAGGGACTAGTGTAAAGTCACGGGAGGGGCGTTGACGCTAAGCCAGAACAAGGCCCTAAGCGAGCCCTAGGTGCACACAGTACCAGTTCCGCTCTGGGCGTCTACCGGACTCTCAAAGATAGGCCGAGTTAAAAGTCTCCCGTCTTCTTCTCTCTTTCCTATACCCATCCCTCTCGAGACTCCAGTCCAGTCAACGACCCCATCGACCACCATGTCTACTGCCGAGCTCGCTTGCTCCTACGCGGCCCTCATCCTTGCCGATGATGGCATCGAGGTCACCGTACGTATTATCCTTGGATCTTGAGTTGGTATTGTGGGAAACCGATTGAACAACACGAAGTTGTCGCGAAGAGGTGGAAATTTGCGAGACACTGTGAAAAATGGGAGATGAAAATTTTTGCATTGGAAATACAGGCTGATCGTGTCTTTTGTTCACCACAGGCCGACAAGCTCCAGACTCTCCTGACCGCCGCCAAGGTTCAGGAAGTTGAGCCCATCTGGACTTCCATCTTCGCCAAGGTAAATATCCGACAGTCTTCGAGCGACAATTAAAAAAAAACGCAAAGTCATACTCAGCAACTTACACATTCCGATTTTACAGGCTCTTGAGGGCAAGGACATCAAGGAGCTCCTGACCAACGTCGGCTCCGCTGGTGCCGCCGCTCCCGCCGGTGGTGCTGCTGCTGGTGGCGCTGCTGCCCCCGCTGAGGCTGCCGCTGAGGAGAAGGAAGAAGGTAACGCTGCGATCCATGAAGAGTCTGCGAAGGTGCGCGGAGTGCTGACTTGTACACAGAGAAGGAGGAGTCCGACGAGGACATGGGCTTCGGTCTTTTCGACTAAGCGTCTTCACCCGTTCGGCTTTCCTAGTTTCCTTTTTCACCTCGTTTCTTCCATATCTCCTTTTCGCCCTCGCATTTCTTGTACCCCATACTACGCGACCGCACGATGACCAAAAAGGGAAATTAAAAAGGGATCAACGGACAAGGACATCCGGTGGGACTGGGCGCTTTGCTTGTATGATGGGTTCGATGACAGGTACTGGAACGGATGACGCTATGATTCCGGCCATTAGACTTCAGTCATGGCACACCTATGGGTCGGGGGCGAGATCGTGTTGGCCGTCCTCGTTTCTATATAAAATATTCCCAGTTTAGCTAGTTTCGAGCTTAGGTGCCCAGATCTCATGCCATGTCTGTCATGCGACCATGAACAAAAGGTTTCTGTTTGCATTGTCCGTATAAAGCTATTCATAATTCCCTCCCACTCTCGTTGCTCGCTCTAAGGTAAAAAACAACAAAGCCATGCATAATAGATATAAATATAGTACAAACGCCATGCCACCTAAGCCCCGCAACTTGTTTGACAGATAAAAAAACTCGACACAACTTTTGATAAGCGCGACCAACTAACGGAACCACGCCGCGTCCCCGTAGAGTCGATCAATGCGCTAAACTATTAGCGTGGCTGTACCCTGGCCCTTCACAATCATGGCCCTGCGGCTGTTGAGTCCGCAACCGCATATAGACGAAATTGTATAAAAATCGTGATATCCTCGACCATCGTGCCCAGCGATCCCAGCAGCCAAGGTATATTTGTGACAATGTAGTTTTTCTCCGTTGAATGACAAAGGATCTAGATTGTACAACGTCAGCCTCAAATGACATAAACAAAAAATATGAATCAGTAAATGAAAACCTACACCAGCGCCATAAGTCAAATTTCCCAAGAGGGAGAGAATAAAGAACAAAAGCGAGAGCCCTATAAAGTCAGTTAGCAACGTACGTGCGATACCTATTAGTCAGGGAAATACATACCCTCGCAAGATTTGTCCTTCCAGTTCTTGTAAATCTGCGGAAGACGTGCACTAACACTTGTCAGTCCTGAAAAACATTCCATATCCGATTTAATTTTCAAAACTCACCCCAGATAGCAGATCGCGCTGAAATACCCAACTACCTGGGCTCCAACGGCTATCTCGGCACCTCCACCATCCTCCTGAGGTGCCGGTTGCCAAACACCAGATTGCCATGCGATCGTCCATCCACCCATTCCAATCACGCAGATGGCCAGGACGCTGCTGAAGTTCTTGATCCACGCACTACGACCGGCCTCATTCTCCTCGACAATTTTCGCTAGTGTATCGTCGGGTCCATTAGCATGGCCGTCACGGTGCTGTGACGCCCATGACCGACGGCGCGAAGCCGGTCCATCATGAAGGCTGTCGCTAAAGCGCCGGCCCAGCAACGGGGTGGTCGGGTCAGGCGTTTCCACGGAAGAACGTCGACGGTGGAAGGCCTGAAGACGCGAATTCCGCATCTTGTAGTAGAGACATTGCCCGATAAGCACACCATCTGCGATACAAAAATAAACAGCAATAGCCACAATTACGGGAACCAGCCCGGCCCAAAGGCCTCCGATTAGGTTGGTTACGTCACCGACGAACCAAACGCCGAGAAAGACAAGAGAGATGGCCTCCGCATTGCCATTGCGATAATTTTCGATAAGTTGAGGCACCTAGCAGAGGCAGTTTAGCGGATTGTCTTCGCAGGGACCTACGAATCGCAGCGCGGCCAAGCAATGTAGCGGATAAACACATACCAGGACAAAGATCCAACAGGTCAAAGAAATAGATCCCAAGAGCCCAGAGGCAGCCTCACGGGCGGTTAACGGTACGGGTTCTGCCGAAGCCATACTACTGACCTGCGACCACAGTGTCGGCATTTTCTTTCCTGGGTGAGCGATGGTTTGAATCTGCCGGCGATCTGAGGAGAGATAAGGGAAAAAAGTTAGCTATCTCGCGACGCGCTCGGATGTAACGTGATAGCACATGAGTCACTAAGATAGTGCAGTGGCAAAGTCCAATCTGATGATTGAAATTTTCCCGATAGTTTTCTCATCGAACAAAATATGCGACAGTCCCACGCATGGCAGAAGCAAGTGTCACGTTCGAATTAAGATTTTATTATAGTTACGGGCGGAACCGCTGCCTGTCGGAGAATGTTTTACTAAGCTGCGATAATTGTGAGGGAGCATCTTTTTGGCCGGTTTGATAAGGAAACAGTCGAATATAATGCCGATGATGTTTATACTTAAGAGTAAAAAGGAGTGATATAAGATCTTAAATTTTCCCAACAGATGCATGTAACCGAAAACGGACGCTTGGTTATACAAGACCCTGTTATGACGTTTGCCCTAAACCCCGTCCGTGATGTAGTAGTACTGCTTATATATAAACTCTACTATACGAATCTCTACCCCACAATACAAATACAAATACAACGAAACGAAGTCACATGGTATCATACAGAACACATACTGTCCCTACCTGTCTGCAATGTCTACAAGAATAACAACTACAATTCTATTATTCTTTCGAATCCATGAGTTATGAGCAATGTAACCATGATATATCATTCCCGTCACTATACACGCATCGAGGGCTGATATAATCACACATCCTCATCTTCATCATATTCCAGTAGCTGAAGTTCATCCTCCAACAAATCAATCGCCATCTCACCCATAGAGTCCCGAACCGGACCGTGGAGTAACCGCTGTCGAGTATCCGGCTGGAGGCCGTCCAAGGCATCTACATACTCAGTCAAGGGAGAGTAGTCGACGACTTCCCCCCAGTTACCGCGATCGACACCATACTGGCGTAAAAATGTTTCAAGACTGTGAAGACCATCTGCCAGGAGCCACTGCTCAAGTTGTGGTTGCTGATCAGCGCCAGGGTGTGGGCGTGTCGTGTTAATCTCGCCTCCACCCTCGCCAGTCGAATCGTCATCGTCATGTACTTCTTCGCCGCCCTGGAACCCAGGGAAACGAATAGCACCATTGTTCATTTGATCCAAAAGGTCCCGCAGCCACTGTGGGCGACCAGCCTCCGGCACCCGAGACAAATATGATGGGGTGGGATCCGACTGTTGGCGGAAAGCCTCCGAGTCGTAGGGAGGCAGTGGATCGGATGCTGATATCCGTCCGGAGACAAAGCGGGTGGGTAGATGCGTTGTGACTTTGGGGATGTCGGACAGCACCACATGGCGGGCAATATCGAGCGTGATCTCAGGAGGTTCAACCGGTTCTTCCTCTTCCGCCAAGGTATCGGCAACTTCCACGATCAACGACACTGCCTCAGGCGTGTTCCAGAGATCCTTGGCACGGACAATGTAAAGTTCGGTGAGCAGCTCATGAGCGTCAGTCGGAGGCATCTTGCCCCAGATCTGCTTAGGCATGGGCTGGATATCAAGCTCTTGTGCTAGCTTGCAAAACACCCATGGGTAGCGCGACATGGCGAAATGAAGCTGCTCTCTACATTCCTTAGGTTTGTTCAACCGGAGGTATGCCAATGCAAGTGAGCATTGAATATTTGGCAGAGAAGCCCACTCCTCTTTCAGCCGGGTTTGTGTACAAAGTTCAATAAAATGGGAGTACTCTCGGCCTCTGAGGGCCAGGTGATCGATCAGAAGTCTGATACAGTATGGATCACTGTCATTGAGGCTCAGTAACAGCTTGGCCCACTCATAAGCTGTCCTCCAAGTTCCTTTCATCCCCAAGTTGGCAATGTACCTCCAACCGACGAGCCACAACTCCCGGTTCGCCATATGCGCGAAATCCAGCCTTGCCTGACCTTCCTTAAGGCTGGTACCGAACGATGAGTGAGCCGACCGTCCAATGTTGAAAAGTGCCCGTTCAAGGAGATCAGCGGAGACAGCGTGGTCACTTTGATGCTTGGCTATTTCGGAAACCTGGAGCAGAGTTGAAATATGGTACGGATTATATTGGAGTAGGTGAATCATTCTTTGAGGGTCCATCGACTCTACACACATATCGAACTGCATCTGCACGTCCTTATAGGAGGCGTTGTGCATAATCCGGTAGACCGTAGGACCAGTTGAAGATTTCTCCACCAGTTCCATCCCAAGGCCACCACTAGGGGTGCGAGGCCATTCGTCCTTGCCCTGCATCAGGACGTTGCGTCGCAGCGTGACGCCAGCTAAACTTTGACCTCTACTCGCAGGACTATACCTACCAGTCAATGCGCGACCGAGGTCAATCGTTTCCCGGTTCCTGTCTCTCCTGCGGCCTGCGCCAGCATCCTCTTGATCAAAGTTTTCCAACACCACATTCCCAAATAACTTTCGCATTTCATTCGTCGCATTGAGAGACTTCGGGTCAATGGCAAGAAGCTCTGCCGGGGTCTTTGGAAACGAGGCATCGCGATTATTACCTGTTGCAGCCGTTGTGGAATCGCCTTGTCCGGAACGGTTGTTGTCAACCGCTAACTCCCTTAGTGCTCGATCGATTTCGTCTAATTCTTCATCATCCGCTTTGGTATTTGTTGTTGCTTCATCTGTGGCTTTCGGAGAAGCCTTCTTCTTCTTGTTTTTCTTCTTCTTCTTTTTCTTCGACTCTGCCGATTTCGCGGGGACGGGTATATCTTCCGTTGGCTGCGTCACCGGCTCGTGAGCATCGTTGTCGGACTCCTGCTCTTGCTCTTGCTCTTCCTCTTCATCATCGGCGGCATTAAGTAAATCAAAGGCGTTCAACTTCGGCTTTGAAGACTGAGATACCGGCTCATCTTCGCTTGACTCATCGTTTTCTTCTGCTTGTAACGACGCTTGCTGCAACTCTTGCTCGCGCAGCTTTTGCAGCTTGCGAAGCGCGCGGGAGGACATTCAGGGCTGACCACAAATTACAAAAATCAGCCAAGCGTAGTGCGATTATTGAGGCCCGCGCGGGGAATTGGTGAACGTTGGTTTTCTGATGTATAAGCAGTAAAAAGCGCTTTTTATTCATTTACAACCGCGGGGAATGACGACACAGCCTGTTTGGGATTAGCGCAGGATATTCGTTAAGATGTTACGGTACGAAGACAAAACGAAGACAAAACGATACGGTATCACATGATAAGCCATCTACCCTTGCATGCCTGGATGCCTGGGTCCGATTAAACACCGAAAGGTCTCCGCCATTAGACTAGTAAATAGCTTGTGTCATCATACAGTCTCCTTCCAGCGCCGCTGGACTCATACAACTCTCTATATCATATTATTTTCTCACCTACCCAATGCGACGTGCAGCTCTTCACGCCTTCCGTAGTGCGCGTCGTGTACCGGTATGGAGAGTTGCTGGTAGGAAACCGCGTGCTGTGTCGTTCTCTAGCAGCCACTCTCTAGCTCTCCGACCCTCCTCCGCCGGGAAACACCCTACTTTCATTCCCGCGACCCTACACTCATCGATGCATCTCCGAAACTTTTCCCTTGCTGTGATATCGACCGTCGTTGCATCTGGGGCCTGGTACGCTTATCAGGGTGGCAGTTCACAGTCGGCAGCAGTAGCGGGCTTGAACCGTACCATATCTACTTCCACCACGGCTTACGCTGAGGATCCTTCGGAGTCAACCCGCCGCGCTCTTCTGGTGGATAATGATCAATTTTATACCGCGACTATCAACGGAGAAGAACCGCTTCGCAAACAGACGGACGACTCTGACCGCCGACTTCTAGAAATGTTGACGCCGGAGCAAGCTACGCAGAAGCTGAGGAAGAATGAAGAATCGTACTTGGTTAACCGAGGCAAAGGTGTTGTCCGCTATGACGTGGTGCAAGTGCCTAGCAACTCGCCGATTGAAGACGATCATGCCGAAAAGATAGTAGAGGTGCCGTCCACAGTAGCTACGGCGAAAGAGGGCGAAGCCAACAGCGACTGGATGTTCTGGGGCGTGTTCGACGGGCATTCGTACGTTTATCCACCTTTATCCGTTGATGGATTTGTATAGAACTGACTAGTTCACAAGTGGCTGGACGACTTCCGCTAAGTTGCGCAATGTTCTCATCTCCTACGTGGCTCGGGAATTGAACACCACTTACAAGGCTGCGGCTGCTGATCCTTCGCTACTCACACCTTCCCCTGCAGCTATCGACGCAGCTATCAAGCAGGGCTTTACCCGATTGGATAATGATATCGTGCACAACAGTGTCGAGAAAGTGCTCAAGTCTAACTCGCGGAGAGTTGCAGCCGAAACACTTGCCCCCGCTTTATCCGGCTCTTGCGCTCTTCTTGCTTTCTATGACTCCCAGTCAAAGGATTTGAAGGTTGCCTGCGCCGGTGATTCTAGGGCCGTCCTTGGTCGTCGTGGCCCGAACGGAAAGTGGTCTGCAACCGCGCTGTCGGAAGACCAGACCGGCGGGACCCCTTCCGAAATGCAACGTCTACGGGCCGAGCACCCTGGGGAACCTAACGTTGTACGGAATGGTAGAATCCTAGGCCAACTGGAGCCCAGCCGATCCTTTGGAGATGCGTTCTACAAGTGGACCAAAGAGACTCAAGATAAGATCAAGCGGCAGTTCTTCGGAAGAACCCCCCACCCTCTGCTGAAGACACCGCCCTATGTCACCGCCGAACCTGTCATCACTACCACCAAGGTCGAGCCTAGCCGGGGAGACTTCCTCGTCATGGCTACTGACGGTCTCTGGGAGATGCTGAGCAACGAGGAAGTCGTCGGACTTGTCGGTCAGTGGATCGAGCAACAGCAGGCTGGAAATGTGGGCGGCAACAAGACGTGGCTGAAGAGCTGGTTTGGGTTCGAAAGCAAACAACTTCCTGTCGAGACATCGCAAGAAGCGGGAACTGAAGGCCAGCGTCGTCCTATCCGCCAACAACAGTACGATATCTCAGGTGTTGCCGACCGATTCACAGTAGAAGACAACAACGCCGCCACCCACCTTGTGCGTAACGCCATGGGCGGTAAGGACAAGGACATGGTCTGCGCACTGCTGACCCTCCCTAGCCCATACTCTCGCCGCTACCGGTAAGTCATAAAACATACCCCCACCCAACACTGGAAACAAACTAACATAAACACAGTGATGATGTCACAGTAGAAGTTATCTTCTTCGGCGAAAGCCCGGACACCCGTACCGTCGAAATCAACAAGGAAGCCAGCGCATCCGAAGAGAACCCTAGAGCCAAGCTCTAAACTATTCTAGAGATACTAGAACTGACATTAACGACGCAAGACCTCATCACTTGCTTTCTTATCGTACAGGATCCGTAACCATAAAGTTCATTTAGTACTCTTCCTTTTTTCTTCTTACTACTTTCATGTCTCCGAGCACTTAGTATGTGCATACTAGATGATCGTAAGATCTGGCGTTCTTTTGGTTTTGGGTGGTGATCTACTATGTGAATATCAGCTAGAATGGCATATCTCTTCGAAATAACATATCTCTTCACCAATGTACTAGATCTACGTAGAAAATGGTATAATAGATTCGCGCTTTCCCCTCCATATCAATACCCCTCAATGAATCCATAAACCTACTTTGTTTCTATCCATAGTAGGCGAACAAAAACACCACGCCAGTAACAACCACACCAGACCAGACTAAACATGTAGGCGGAAAACGCATCCCTTAGTCCGGTAGAATCTCCATATGTTTTCTGAGTGGTGCCACGAGTATATCACATAGTCCTGCCTCCATTCTAGTGTGAACGAATGTTTGTAGGTTTTTGGGTATTGTGTTGATTATGGTAGTCTTTTGGGATATTGAATGAGATTATATATACAGATGGTATTATATATACATGAAAAGAAGGTAGGTATATGATATATCGCATGCTTAGTCGACTGTTCGTATCCTTCTTTTAACGTGTCAACCAGTGTTAGGTAAGGATAGACCCGCCGATAATCCTCTGAGAGAGCCACTGGCCGAAATCCGAACAAGTAGAAGTTAAAATTGCTGCGGGAAGGGTATTACCGTGCGCACAGGTGTATTAAACTTCGACGGGGCTTTTTTGATGCGAACATGAACGGCTCCTGTGTCTGACTCGCGTGACCTTGTTTGGTGGCACTGATGCCTCTTCGGACATCATGGAGGGGTTGGTCTGGAACCCCATGTAGCATGTGAGTCCTGACGGAGCGAAAGTAGGCCTTTCTGATGACTGGGCCCCCGGTTATCATCGGCCTATTTGGCAAGCTTCATGCTGGTAGGTGCATCTAGCACTTAGATTATGCAGTCATCGCTCCTAATGAAGTCCCTTGAAGCCCTTTGCGTCCTTCATGGTGGCTTTGTAGATTGAGTCCTCTGGAGCACACTCTTTGTTTGCAGTATACCCGATATGCATCTGCTTCCAGGGCTTTAGTGGTTCTCTCTTGAACATGCACTTGTCCAGGAAAACGGTTTGCAGCGTGGCAATATTCGTACTGGTGGTCCAATAGAGCAGAAGCGCGGCGGGCATTTCATAGTAATAAGACGAAAGACCGACATTCAGCGCGAGAACCTGGATGAAAGCCCTAATTCCGCGCACAGTCAAAGCCTTATAGAGCTCTATCTTCGGCAAATCGGCCATCTGCGAGAACTTCTTGGCTTTCCAGCCAGCGCTGATGTTAAGCAGGATAGACATGGTTAATGCGGCTGGTAGAAGGCCCGTCGTGTCGCCTGCTAGGAGATCCGGAAACCAGAGCGCGCCTTCTGTCGCTAGGGAGGGCTCGACCTCTAGATGGAGACGAGGGGCTCCTGATGGATTGGTAGGCTCGACGAGAGATAGAAGATATGGGATAAGACCCTTGTCGTTTCCAGACATGGCTCGGAGAGCCTCCATGACTGATATCCAAATAGGAATTTGGAGAAAGTTAAGTGGCTTCCAGTACTTTGGGATGTTCCATCGTTTTTTTAAGTCCGCGTGTTTCGATTTCATATGTTGCGCCAGCATAGGAGTAGCGGCCGAAAGGTTTTGAATGTCATTAACGTCGTCGACTTTGTACTGGCTTCGCAATATATCGTCCTTGTAGTGCTTCTTCCAGGAAGAGAGAAGTGGGACCAAATCTCGCTCTTTGCGCGCTTGGATCTTAGTATATATCTGTAGAGGCATTGCGACGGTTGATCGGACGATCAATGCGGTCAATGGAATGGAAACTGCCCATGACAGGCCACTGATTGAATGAACACCCTGTATAAATGCGGATGAAGCGTCTAGTAGTTCGTTAACGAAAGGCGACGGTCTTGTTGGATGGAAATGCCGGATTTGCTGCAAAGTCGTCTTCCGCGGCGCGCGAAGTGAGCGATGAAAAGGCCTCATCTTGCCGGCCAATGGCTCGCCGATTGCTTTATTAGCGTCCGATATGGGCGATAGCACAAGATGGGGATGAAAGAAAGCAAAGAACAAATATAAGTACAGTAGTATACAAGGCGATTGCCGCACTGAATCGAAGTTATCTCCGGGTACACCAGAAAAACAAAATAATAAATCATGTGACCGATAGATATCACGTGCGTAATGATTTAAGTCATACCATACAAACCATACAATACCATACCGAACGGTTTCTGATCGGCACGGACTCCGAGCCGGCTTATCGATAGTGAAACAACAGTCAAATAATCGCCAGCTGTTTGTTCGGCAGCTCCTTGCAGTACTAGTAGTACCTGCGCGCCGCCCAACGTACGGATGAGACTACAATAGTTATGTCCGCTGTCTTGTGCTAGCCATGATGCTGTTTCTATTGAAGACGGTGATCACCGTCCTTGCGCTCCTCGCAACCTGCGTCCTGCTGCCCCGACTTCCCCTGGCGGTCCTCCGCTTCGTCCTTCGTGGTGTGGGATGGGTTATCCAGAAAAGAACAAAGTCTCGTAGAGAGTATCTTCTCTCGCGAGTCCGGGCTGAAGATGAGGAGGCTTCATCTAAGCGAAGTAGATCATCTTCTGGAGCTCAGGGAGAGGATGAGGATTGGGAGAAGCTCGACTCGTCTAGTTCCGGTTCAGGTACACCTGGCAATAACAAGGCCCCTGAGAGTGACGATTGGGATGGGATTATAGGGTTCTTTCATCCATTTTGGTATGATTACTACCTCGCTAGACGCATGCATACCGTTAAGGGCGCAGCTGACATGATCTTTCTAGCAACGCCGGGGGAGGGGGAGAACGTGTCCTTTGGGAAGCTGTAAGGGCAACGCAAAAGCGCTGGCCCAAAGCGATTTGCGCCATATATACAGGAGACCATGAAGTCAACAAAACTGCCATGCTGGAGAGAGTCCAGAATCGTTTCAACATTCAACTCCACGCTCCAACAGTGGTATTACTATACCTTACTACCCGTAAATATGTCGTCAGCAGCATGTATCCTTATATGACTCTGCTGGGCCAGTCTTTGGGATCTCTGATTGTCGCCTACGATGCATTCAATCTACTGGTTCCAGACGTGTTCGTCGATACCATGGGCTATGCTTTCACTCTGGCTTTCTGCAAGATGCTTTTCCCGTCCATCCCAACAGGTGCTTATGTGCACTATCCTACGATATCCACGGACATGCTCCAGTCTTTAGATGATACAACCGGCGTGAAAGGAGTCAACGCTGGCGCCGGACAGGGACTGAAGGGGCAGATCAAGCGAAAGTACTGGCTTGCTTTCGCCCGTCTCTACGGCTGGGTTGGGGGCCATGTGGACGTTGTGATGTGCAATTCCTCCTGGACATCTGCGCATATTCGTACCATTTGGGGCCCGTCTCGGCAGGAGCAAACTCACAAGGAGCCAACTGTTATATTCCCGCCTACGGCCGTTTCAGAGCTTCAGTCGGCTATCACAGTAAATGCGGAGAGCGAGAAAACTAGGGAACCCATCATCCTATACATTGCGCAGTTCCGGCCTGAAAAGAACCACCCGTTAGTGTTGCGCTCGTTCGCACGCCTCCTTCAGGAGCGTAGCAAGAATCCTACTTCAGCGTCGCAACCACAACCCAAATTAGTCCTCATCGGCTCTGTCCGGCATGCCAGTCCCGACGAAACCCACATTTACAACCTCCGGCTGCTAGCGCATGAACTCCGCATCCGCGATCACACCACTTTCCTATGCGACGCTAGCTGGCCCGCTATCCTCTCCCACCTCGGTACAGCATCAATCGGCGTCAATGGAATGTGGAACGAGCACTTCGGCATCTGCGTTGTGGAATACCAAGCCGCTGGACTCATCAGCGTGGTACATGACTCTGGTGGCCCTCGCGAGGATATTGTCGTTGATCTGGGTGATGGTGCGACAGGCTTCCGCGCCTCAACGGAAGACGAGTTCGCCGCCGCATTCGAGGCCGCGCTGGCTCTACCGGAACAGGAAAAGGTGGCGATGCGCCTACGTGCAAGGAAATCCGCCCTGCGCTTTACCGAGGAGGAGTTCTCCCTCAAATGGATCACCGAGATAGGGAAACTAGTCCAACTGCAAGCTCGGTGATTTGCAAAATGTTGTCGGCTTGTGGCATCCTGGGATATCATATGTTTTGTAGTCTTAGAAACTCCTAGACCCAGCAGATGAGTGTGTATGTGAGAGTTTCTTGTGGTCATTGCAGTTGTGTTGATTAGCAGTGCATCTCCTATATGTATACTCCTTCACTGGTTGTTCTTCCCCACTTTAAGGATAGGGTACTGTCACAATACGAGATTTGAAGAAGCCTGTATCTTGTTATTCTATTCCCTGTTGTCAAGCTGTGTGATATATTTCGACCTCACCTAGGGCAAACATTGCCCTGAATCCAACCGATGCGGTATACTCAAGGAACCGTATCTTTGAGTGTCAGCAAACAGATTTACGTTGACCTAGCATAGATGGCAACAAACTTCTAAGAGTAAAACAGAAAATATATTCCAGAACAACAATCACGGACATAAAAGGTAATAGACTAAATAGTCTAAACAAGCATCCACTCAAGGATATCCCGCACACGAAACAGATGGAGTATTTCCATGGGTATGAAGACTCATCGTAAACACATAATAATGACAGCCCGCAACCCTTGCGGACTTGGGGGAATCGAATCTGAAAGCAAGATATAGAATAATAGAAGGGGCAAGGAAAGTAAAAAGAAAAAGAAAAAGAAAAAGAAAACTGAAAGCGAGAGAAAGCATGCACAATGCATCCGGAACTTCGGTATAAACGAAAGTTAACCCGCCGTCATCTGGTTTCCACCCTGTATCTCAACGCCAAAAAGTATAACCCTCTATGATTGACTCAAATCCATGGTAACCTGCAAATGATCGACTAGATGCCAACGTTCGCGAAAGAAAAAACAATAAAGCGGGTGTAGATGATGCTAAAAGGGGTGGTTGAATTTAAATATAGGCAAGGAAGAGAAATAGGAAGGAAAGATTATCAGGGAAAGGTCAGCCGGACAAGTCACCACTCATGGCTAGGCATACCCCGAGTCCCCAGGGTTGACGTTCAACATTTGATTCTGATTGTTCATCACGTAAAGATTGTCCTGGGGACTTCCGTATCCACTCATGCCGGAGACACTACTGAGGTTTGATTCATCATCCTCGAAGCCAAACTCGCCGCCTGAGCTGGCGTCAAAGCTACTACGACCTCCGATGTCACTAGGATCTTCTGCCGCCGCAGTTATCTGATCCCACTGCAAGTTCTGCAGGGCTGGGTATTGTGCCAGCAGCGCGGCAGGGAGAACAAAACCGTTGGCATGCTGACCATCCATTCCTGGCACCATGAGCGGTTGCGGCACCGGCTGTAAGTGGCCCGCATGCTGCTGATTCTGTTGATCCACGAGCGTGCGCTCTCGTTCTTGAGATTCTTCGTCTAGGAGTGGTTTGATACAAATTCGGCCCGCCTCTGATCGGAAATGGCGGCCCAAAGCATCTGCACGGGCAAATCGGCGACCGCATCCCCACTGCCCGCCCCGTGAGAGATCACCACGGCAGACAAACTTCTTCTCTCCGGAATGTAGGCCCTCATGCCTTTTACGATCGTGTTGACGAGCGAATGCCTTCCCACAGACAGTGCAGACGAATGGTCTTTCGTCTGTATGAGTCCGCAGATGGGACCGGAGATTGTAGGCTCTGGTGAAACGCTTGGGGCAAAGATGACATTGGAATGTAGCAGGGTGTTTCTGAACACGCTTGGAATCATTAGGGCTTGCTCCAGGTCGCTGAGGATCCGCGAGACCCAAAATATAATTGCGGTTGTCAATCGATGATGTTGACAAACGACGAGACCGAGAGGGCGAAGGCTCTCGGGACGAGGGGTTACTGTGTGGCTGGCGGCCCGTCGAGTCAAACGGCGACAACGACCGTGGGGATGACGGGGCAAAAGGCTCCAGGCTACTCGATATGGACACGGGGGATCGTGAGCGAGAAGCCGGATGAGCGTATGGATCAGATTTGCTACGCATGCGGCCTGTATTATTAGATTAGCATGGGATAAAGAGCACCAAGATCGAGGGCAAGGACACAGGGATTAATTCTTACGCATGGACGGAGGCGGACTCAACGAATCCAGATCTGCCGCTGGCTTGGCTGGAGGAAAGATCGGGTTTTTCGCAGGCGGCGCGAACTCCACGTTAATGGATGGTGGCGCCATCTGTGACGCTTGACCAATGTCTCCAACGATGGCGGTTCCCTGAGGCATATTGGCAACGCCTTCCGCTCCATTGCCATAGATATCTGTGGGGGGACATGAGTATCGGTTCCCGGCAGGAGCGGAGATATACGGCATGTTAGGGATCAGATCGTTCCCTTGCTGGGGCATTAGTTGCGGAGAAATGTACGGACTGTGGACCGGACTAATGCCCTGATGGTGCTGCTGCTGCTGCTGCTGCTCTGACAGTGTAAAGGATTCGATTCCGAGTGAGCTGTCGTAGAGCCCTGGGTCATTCTGAGGCGCCAAGAGCGGAGATGGGTTATTATCCACCCCGTCAAATGACTCATGCTGCGACATATACGGAGAGGGCGCAGCAGATGACACTTCAGACACCTCCGAGGGGGCACGCCGATGGCCCTGAAACGCGGCATTGCCCATCACGCTCTGCCAGTCCGGAGGCGCATTGCCTGTCATGTACGCAGCACTGGCTGGATCCAACGACGTATGGCGGGAGTGCTGTGGGGTATAGTATGCCCCTGGCGTCGAGCCCGGAGGAGACATAGGGCCTGGAGACGAATGATGAGGCTGCTGCTCCCGCGGAGACATTTGCGGAGAGGCTACGGCGTGAGGGGAGGACATCTGACCGACTAGATCGGCCGGATTGATCGCCTGGTTGACTTGCCCGGGATGCCCCTGCATCTGAGTGTCGAGCATTAGCGAGGAATCGTATTCAGAGGCGGTCGTGCTATTAGGACTATGGTTCGGATACAGGGAGAAATCGAAATCGGTCGGGTTTGAGTTCAATAGGGTGGAGAAGTTTTCCTCATGCGGCTGTTGATGTTGCTGAAGCTGTGGCTGCATCGGAAGTCCCGACGAGTGGTCGAGCTGGTTGACCAGCCCTGGATCGAAGGACTGCGGCAGTTGGAGGCTGTGAGAGAAGGCTTGATCGGGCGGGGCCAGTGTTTGCGCGCTGGTCGGGGAGAGGTAGCCGCCGGCGGTATAGCTGTAGGAGTCCGCGCCAGGTGAATTCGGATTCGGATTGGCATTAAACGACGCGGAATTTTGGAAGGACGCAATGGCGAAGGAAGGGTCTAGAGTCAAGCCGGGCGAAGCGTTGTTGTATTGATGCTGCGGATGGGCTGAGGGGCTCACACTGCGGTTTTTAAGATCCGCAGGCGATTGCTCTGCATCCCGGAGCGCGTCCTGGGAAGCCATCGCGACTCGATGTATCCCAGAATAGATCCCACGCGAAACAAGGCTGAGGGCGCAGAAGACGCAGTGGAAGCAATGGAATGCTCGATCGATCAATCAATCAAAGCGGGGGGTGGATTCGCGTCGACGACGGGCGGAGGAGAGAGGGGCGGTGATGGTAAGATGAAAGTAATTGTTGGGAGCGATAAGGCAGATGAATGGCCAATTTCAGGCACACATGGGGAAAACGAAACGATTTTAGTATATAAGAATATCAGAAAGTACCGAAACGCTGACAGGAGGGTGTGGACAAGTCAGGAGCGATAGGGGGCAGTCGATCGACTGTGGGAGTGCACCTTGCGAATCAGCCTCGTGGTTGCGCGGTAAATGTTTAAGTCAAAGTCGGTCTGGGGGAATGTTTCACATTCTCTCTCTCTCGCTCTCTCTCTCTATGTATGTATGTAAGAAAAAAAAAAAGGTACCCTGCAATAAGCAAAATGGGGGCCGTCAATTCCCCGCTAGTAGTTTGTCGAAGAGCCTCCCCGTAATAGTATTAAAAAGGGATCCCAACCCAACTATTGTTGTTGTTATTGTTATTGTTATTGATATTGAAGTAGTACGTAGTAGTTCGTGGTGGAAACAGAGGACGAGTCGATGATTTAAAAAAGATCGAAGATCCCCTCATAGAAGAGATCATGTCCCTTTCCGGGTCCAGCAGCCAATGTCCGCCTTACTGCCTGAACCAACCTTGCCATGCACGTGAGGTTGGATCCCCAGGTATGTTGAAAATTATTCCCTCATTCATTCAGATCTCTTCTCTCCTGCGACGATTATATCTAATAATAGTTTCCAAACCTGTATCATCACTGCCTAGCAAGTCTCTTACTATATTTGGTGTATCTGGGTGGTGAAGGGGATTAATTTTGAGAATACGAAACAAATTCTCAAGGCAGATATGAAGCTCCACCCCAAACCAAGAACTGTGGGCTCTGAGTTGGCGGTACGGGATGTATGTACATATTGATCCATACATATATATCCATGCTCTCTGACAGGAGATAGATTACTTAGGTCAAGCCTAAAAAGCAATTAGGTAGCCATGAAATGGAGCTGCGATATGCAGTGATCGCTTAGATGAGGTGGTGGTGGTGGTGGTGGTGGTGTTGTTGTTGTTATTGTTAGGCAGGTACTAAGATCGGTATCGTATCGTACCATCGTATCTCTGCAGTACGGATGTGTCACAAACAAGCACTGCAAAGACCACTGGAAGCGAAGACTTGCAGAAACAATCTACGGCATCCTATTCGTCCCGGATCTTAGCATATGACGGTGCCTGACGACAACATGGCAAGAATACATCATTAGATCCATCTTATGTCATTGGTACTGTACAGATCATGATAGGGATGTGATGTATGGTATGTATTGGACGATACAGACCATCAAGAGCCCTAACCTTCATACCATCACAACCAAACCAGCATAAGCATAAATTGATGCTTAGTAAAAGCAAATTACAAGGAACAAACAGAGCTACAAATAAAGAAAAATTAAAAAAAAAAAATAAATCATAAATCATTGTGTGCGAAATAAACGACAATGTACGGGGGTAGATTGAATGAACTCGTCTATGTACTAAGCAGTGGATCCAAACTAACTTATCAGTATCTACTAATATCATTAGTACTACGGAGTATATCTCGTTTCCATGATGGGGACCTCCCCACAATTTCTCAACTAGAGTTATGCCTAACTTGCAATCAACTTCGATGATTGGATTGAACCACCCATCCAGACTGACTATCACTGCGATTTCCGGGATAGAAAGTCAGCCTGACGCTCTCTCACCGATTGCCCTTGCCCACACAAACACCCTTCCCTTTCCTTTTCTTTCGCTTCATTTTCCCTTTGAGCCTCCCGGGAAAAAAACGAGGCTAGTAATGGGATTGATGGCCTGACTGGATTTCTCACGCCTGGAAGTGGAACTCAACCACAATCCGCCCTCTTGCACAGCCACCGTTGGTGCTACGTTCTTTCGGCCGGAGCTGATGGGTAGCTATCTTTTTTTTTTTTTTTTTTTTTTCCTTCCTCGCTCGGATACTTGAATTTGAACCATTATTGAGTTAACTTTCTAACCATCCCTAGTTGCTGTTCTATAATTATACGATATGTATATAAGTAATGTACATATATGCACGGACGCATTTGAAATTTCAAGTTTTTGGTACAAAAATCCCCAAAAAGGTTTAAATCAGACCTGTCCAAACGCCTTCACACTGCTACGCACCTGGTTAGTGTTATAATCCACCAACAGGTTATCCTCACAGCTGGATCCCAATCCCGCGTTCTTAGTCCAGGCAGGCTCCCAGTAGAAGAAACCGGAGGCCTTGGTAGCCGTGAGCGTCTCCGCCAACCGCTGCAGGAAGGTGACCTGGCCGTCCTCCGAGAAAGGAATGTCCGTTAGATCCGAGGGGAAAGCGAACTCAGGGTTAGAGCACTTCACGGGCCAGTTAGTTTCGACCACGGCAACCTCCTTGCTGTATGTGGTCTGGATGTTGGTCAGACTGGTCTTCAGCGAGGCAAGGGTGGCCTTCTCGTTGTAGAAGGGGTAGTAGGACACGCCGATCATATCGAAATCTTCGGATTTGAGGAGACCAGTGCCGAGAGTGGTGTCGTAGAAGTACTTCTGCTGCTCCCAGTCCCAGCCGTTGTCGAGGTGGATCAGGATCTTGGGCTTCTTGGCTAGCGTCGAGTCCTTCACGCCCCAGGCGCCGGAGTGCAGGAGCCGCGCGATGTTCTCGTAGTTGGGGGTCTTGCCTAGCGGCCAAAGAAGTCCGGAGGTGATCTCGTTGCCGATGGAGACGATTTCCACGTTGATGTCTTCCTCCGCGAAGGTGTTGCATACGCTCAGCGTGTATTGGTAGATCTTATCGGCCAGCGCGTCGATGTCGTCGGTAGGCCAGCCTCCCGGGGTGGTCTAATTTTCTGTCAATATACCGCCCATGGAGTTATAGTACATATCAATACAAATGGTAGAAGGGAGAGGAGGAGGAGGAGGAGGAGGAGGAAGGCAATACCTGATGCTTAGGATCCGCCCAGTCATCACTATAATGGAGATCCAGGTAGATACTGGCGCCAGTCGCCGCAACCCGCTTGGCGAGGTTGACATTGTAGGTCAGGTCATAGTCGCCATTTTTCACCCACACACGCTGACGGATAGAGTTGACACCGTTATCGGTCAAGATAGCTTCCAGGGCCTGGGTCTCCCCGGCCAAGTTCTTGTAGGCAATACCGGCCTTTTCTTCGATGAAGACAGACGAGATGTCCGCACCGCGGTAGGTGAGGGCGGCGTTGGCCAGAAGGGGAAGAGTCGCAACAAGGTAGGAGAAGAGCATTTTGACCGCTGATCAGTCAAATAGAGCGATTTTAAAGGAAAGAGAAAAAGGCCCGTCTGGTGCTTTGGGAAAAAAAAGTAAAAAGGAAGTCAGCCAGGATAGTACCAAAGGATTTATATAACTTGAACGGTCTGGGCATCATAAGTCGTTCCCATGACGAACTCGGAGGAACTACTTCATTAAGGGCAATATTCCCCCTCATGGCCTGAACTTGCAATTTAATCAATATAGAACAATAACGGGGATCCGTTTCTTCCTTCGACACGGAATAAATTGTCCACAGGAACGTTTCCGAAGTATATCATTGGTGGATGGACTATGCCCGGTGTTCCGTCTGCGATTCTCCATTTAGGGCTCCACTATGATTTGATAGACCCTGACTTGAACTGTAGGTATGTATTCTACTATGTATCTCGCGCTCTAATTCGACATTTCCACTGCACAATAACCGATGACCTTCGTCTACGAGTAAAAATTGCCAAGTTTTAAGCAAGAATTCTCAATCTGCACTTACTAGCCTACCCCATCATGCACAGGAAACAAGGTAAAACGGAAAGCAAGTACAATATCGGCCCGGCTCGGATGGTTGTTTCACCTTCGTCGGCGATCTACAGTCGACCTTAACGCTATCCGACCAGCGAGAAAGATGAACCATAGCTCAAGTAAAACAATAGCTCGTCACTACCAGGGGACCACTCACCCCGTGTAGAGGGAGTATCCCGTACTCTTAGCCTAATTGAGTTCACTACAACCTTGTTACGTGGTTGATCCCACAGAGAATGAATGTATGAACAAGCCAAGACAAACCCAGGGTTCGATTTAGGCCCAGTGGTACCCACAACACTTTATGCATTACCCCTGTTGGATAGTGGGACAACATGTCGGCTTCGAGAACATATTGTCAACTAGTTAGCTGGGGACCCCTTACATATTTAGTATTATTTGGTGTACCATGGTCCCGGGAAATGTCTTAAAAAGGCATGACATATAGCCTCCACCCGACTTGTTATCTGTTTGAAACGTGGTATGCTGTAGTCCAAGGCATCACGGCATTCGTGGCGAATAGAGCCATACTTTGTATAAGGACTCATTAATTTATCTCTCATTTGTGGCGTTTACTAGTTAGTTGAATATACACAGAAATACATAAGCGGAAGGAGGCATAGAATCCTGCACCCGATATACAAACAATCCGTACCGAGTCCCAACGTGGTCCAACTATAAACGTGGTACTACTAAAGGATGTAAAAGTTCCACCTACGTTCAGTCAAGTCAAGATTTTAAGATTGTGATGCCACCGAAACCAGTGAACCTTTGTATTCTTCTCATAATTTCAGATATAGTTGTAAATGCAACTTCTCTTAGGGGCTTCGAGAGGCCCCGTTTACTAGTCATCATCATCATTCAACCCACACAAAATAGGAAAGACATGATCATGAGTCTTGCGGGTTCTCTGAAGGAACCAACCACTCTGTGTATCCTGATCCCACACTGTATCCTCCTCATGCCGGCATTACATACAAAGAAAAATCACTGATGCCCCGAACCCCTAATGCACCGAACCGAACCGAAGTATATATAGACGCAAAAGGCACAGGTGAAAATTGCATCGAAAGAGAAAAAGCGAATACCTAGCGTCTTTCGTAGGCTCCCCAACAGAGCGGCACCAGGAGAAATATAAAGAGACCAAGGCCAAGGTGACGGAATGCCAAATATAGACGTGTCGTCAATGCAAATATATGTACAAGCAATGGATCAGTGTCTCGCACATCCCGAAGCAAAGAAAGGACTTCCCCAGTTTATGCCATATAGGCTAGGGAAGGTAAACACAAATAAGAAGGTAAACCCCACAATAAAATGATATACATGCGAAACCGGGCCTCAGGAGAATGGAATGACAAGCTGTTATGAGAAAGAAAAAAAAAAAAAAAGAAAAAGAAAAAGAGGCCATATAACCATACGAGGTGATGCAAATAATGGCATGGTGAAGCTAGTAAGATCCAAAGGAACTTTTCTTCGGCTGCGAGCCGACCATCAACGAAATAGTTTCAATCATGGAGGCTGGCGTCTATAGGTCAAGACTTGGGCAAGGTGCAACCACGCATGATTGGCTTTTGGGGTGTTGCCTTCTTCTTACCAAAGACAATGCCCTCATCCTCAGAGTCATCCTCTGATTCATTTTCATCGTCGCAGTAATACCGAGACTCATCATCCTCCGCGGATCGTGCCAGGTTTGTCTGCTGTGCTTTAACGGTTTCACCCGTCCGAAGGATTGACGGAACTTGAATTGCTGAAACGCCATCTTTCCCTGACGTATCACCTCCGCTCGAAAGCGATGACACCCCGGAGGCGACTGATGGTATACTTGGATGAGAAGCGCTCTGAGACATTCCACTGGTGTAGTCCTCGATTGAGGACGACGCAGCAGACGGAGGTGATGTAGTCAGGCCCCCAGACGGCGAGTCGGAAAAGATATTTTCGCCGAGCGAGTCCGTAGCTCGGGGCTGCGCCTCGGATCGTAGGTTGATGCATTCCTTCGTAGATGGCTCGCTTCCCCTACGATAACACGGTTTGAGTCCATTAGTAGGCGGTTCAATGTCACTCCGTCGCTGACGTAGCAAGGCTTCCTTGGTGAGATGAAAAGGCTCAGTTAAAGACTTGCCCGGCAGTTGATGGGAGCGGTTGCGGCGATGGCCTGAAGGTATTGTGTTCGATCCTTCCACCCGTAACAAGGATACGTCCTCCTCTGGCAGCAGATTAGAATGTTGGCCAGTCGCAGATGCAACGCTCAACGCCAAGGTGGGCTCGCAGTGACGGTCCCCATCCAAGGACGCAGTCTCGGAGACCGATCTATCGGAGCGCCGCTCTCCCGACTGGAGGCCTCTGGCAAGTCGAAGGCTTGCACCGCCAAATAGGCCGCCTACGTTTGTAGTCCCTGCGGTCTCCATACGAGCGGGGGTGACGGTTCTTTGGGGCGCGGGAGTGGAATTAAAATTTGTTGCCTTTATTGTCTTTGCAGATTCGGCTGTGGACAACGTAGATACGGCACGCTCTGGTGGCTCAGGTCGTGGGGTCCGCTCAAGCGATATGGGTGAACTCATCAGGGCTCCCTCGAAATAACAAGTTTGCTCATCCCGACCCACCGGGCTTGCGGTGACACTCTGCGAGAGGGGATGCTCGCCATCCTTGCTTAGACGGGGTGGCCGCAAAAAGTCTTCATCCCTGAGACTAGCACGACGACTGTCCCAAAGGTACTTCCCAAAACTATTGGTGCTTGAATTGGAGGAAGACTCGACTGAGGGAGCCACACTAGAAGTACGCTTGCGAGGATCTTTATCCTTCGACCTCCCGGTAAGGTAGTTCGACCACTTGGCAACATTGGATCGCACACGTTGTATAAACGGTACTTTGCTCACAGCCGTTGTAACTTCTTCATTAGACACTTCGATCCTTTTGCCTTTACTCAGATACCCTGGATCGGTCTCCTCTACCCACGCTCTGGGGTTGGGTAGACCATCTAGGACCCAAGGATGATGCTTGATCTCTTTCACGGTGATTCTCTTCACCGGATCTTTCGTTAGAAGGCGTTTCAGCAAGTCAAACAACTCATCGTCGATATCCTCATACACGAGCTCATCTTCCATTCGCTTATCGACATCCGCATAACGAGGCCATTGACTGACGGTGTCGGGATCATCTTCAACAGGCTTCAGGCGCTTGCGTGGGATGAAGACTTCCTTCTTCACAATCGTTTGAAACATACTGTATTCATCATCGGAGACAAATGGCAAGCGCCCAAAGATCATACCATAGAGAGTTACGCCAAGGGACCAAACGTCGATAGCACCAGTAATCCGCGGGGCGGACCCAAGGGCATCGACGAACTCTTCGCCGGTATAACACAGCTCAGGAGCGTAGAAAGCGGGCGTTCCAACAGTTTTAGAAAGTTCCCGAGCGTCATCCAGCTCAGTCGCATCGGTTTCTCCAAGTTGCTCCTCGTCCTCATCCCTCATGGGCCGCCCTAGGTAAGATACACCAAAGTCCGATATTTTAACACGGTAGTTGCTGGTGAGCAGGAGGTTCGCAGGCTTGATATCCCGGTGAATGATACCCTGATAGTGGAGATACTCGAGCCCGAGCAAGGAATCTCGGAAAGCGTTGCGTGCTTCATCGAGTGTCAAACAGGGAACATAAGACATCTCGTCGTCGTCGGGCGTCCACTCAGGTTCCGAAGGTGCGTGTCCAAAGCTACTCGACGCTGTGCTAAACCGTCTTTCGAAGGAATAATCCATATAAGGCCCATACATACTGCCCTCCACCGCAGCTAAGGCCGCATCATGGAAGGAATGGCTGGGTGAGGACTGAATGTCTTCGTGGCTCGTCTTAGAACAGCTAGGCGTACGAGTGACCGTCAATTCGGGACCTAATTCATCATCTGACTCCGCTCCATGCTCTAAACTCCAGGCTGGAATAGGGCCTTCCTGAGCGTGTGCGGCCTGAATTTGACGTCGCTCCCGGGCCTTTTCGCGTTGGCGGCGGAGATGCTGTGCAGTCCGGACATACTGCTGACATTCTTCCATGAACGAGGGGGAATCGGGAATGCCTGCTTTTTCGCGCTCCAGTCGACGTTTATCCACATGGACGATTTCACGCAAGCCTCGCCGCCGCCAGATGATTTCACCGTTCTCAACATATTCCAGGACGATGTATACCTTCTGGCGATTTGGATCATCGATCACCTCTAGGAGGCTAACCACATTCGGATGCCGAGCCTTCTTCAAGATCGCAACTTCCTTCTTAACCTTGTCCTCGGGATTCCCGAGCTTCCCCAGGCGGCGTCGTTTCGAATACCGCTGGACAATCTTGATGGCGACCTTCTGGCGAGTGCCCACGTGTCTCCCTAGTTTCACCTTTCCATGTTCACCGCGTCCGAGCTCTTCCAGAATCTCATATTGATTAATAACTTTGTTTCCAGTCACAGTGTCTCTGTCCACTTCAGCTGTATGTGTTCTGGGAATACCTGTTAGCCCCGACAGATAGAAGAAGGCACCTCAATGAAACTTACTCTTTTGGTGGCTGGAGATGGGTCGGATGAAGGAAAGGGCTGCTGATGCGACCTTCATCATCTGATACGAGTGAAGAGGTTGATCGAAGAGGGTGACGGACAGAGAATAGCCCCGGACTAGACACTGGGGTATTTCCTGCTGTACGAGAGGCACGCGACGGGGCAAATCGGCCAAGAACCTCGATTTGCGACGGGTAGGAGTTCCGTGAACGGAGAGACGGATGCTGAAAAGTAGGATGGACTTGGGACTGGAGGACAGCGTAGGATTGATCGGGATAGACTGGGTATTCGGGAGATTGAGTATCCGACTGCCCCAAATGGGAGCTCCTCCGAGGAAGGGGACCCCGTCCGATCGCGCCGAGATCCGACCGAGCATCTACAACAATATCCTCGTTCAATGCTTGAAGTGAACTCGAAGACGTTCGGGTGGAGGGTGATCGCGAGGTACCGGAGGAATGGTAGAGATGCGAGGAGAATGGGTGACGAAGAGCGGTTTGACCGTCTGCCAGATCGTTCTGGAGGGGAAGTTTGGCGGTGGGTGGCCTGGTCACGGACTGTTTCCCATCGACGTCTGTTGATGATTGCGACGATTCCGAGCCCTCACGGGGCTTGTCCCGGGCTTGTCTGCGGGTGCTGTCCGATATATGGCCATTTCGGGCAAGGTAATTAATGGGTTCCTCCAGACCGGATACTGAAGGGGGCCGATCAGTCATTTTCATGTCTTCAAATATTCGAACCAACTCTGTTCTAGTTGTAACAGAGCATCCTCTTCTTTGTGGCCCCCTCTCTACTCCCTGTTTTTGACGCTCTTATCCCACCCTTTTGTTTCCTCCCTTATTTTAATTATTATTATTTTTTTTTTTGTAATATTTTTTTTATTACCTTTTCTCAACAGAACCGCTCGATTTAGGGCGAGCCGATGGGAAGCTCTGATGCTGCGCACGAATGGGCCTGCATTACTCTCGAAATTTGAGTGGAATGAAAGTAATGACAGCCAAGCAAGTCGACTGGTGAGACAACCGTGTGCCGGACAGCGGTGGGATTGACGGGCGAGTACAAAATTGTCCGGGCGATAGACCTGCTACAGCACCAGCACCAGCATGTAGTCGACGTTCGGCTACTCTGCGCGGCAACGATGAGTCCGGATCGGCGTGGCGTACCGGAGGGGAGGGGCCCGAAGGAAAGGAGTGTCCAAGTATAGAAACTCGAAGCGGCAGGTGGTGACTCTTCTATAGTAAGGGCTCCCAATGGAGAAAATGAAGGATATTAAGGAAAAAGGTTCTTATAGATAAGGATAAATTGTAAAGTGAACAACGAGAAACGGGGGAGAAGGAAAAATTGAAAATTGAAGAGTCGTACGAATTTTAGTGGGGGGAAGGAAGAAGAAAGGGGAAGGGAAGGAAAAAAAAAAAAGGAAAGGAAAAAAGGGACGGAGGAAAAGTGGTTGTTCACGATGGTGGAGGCAGAGGGTGACGATGGCGGAGAGGGACGATGTGGTTGAGGTGGTGATTAAGCTGCCCCTACGGCGAGCGGGTTTCTTGTCAGGTGGGAAAATAGTCGAAAGAAGGAGGGGGGCTATCAAGAATAAGAGGAATGCATGTTACTATGTATGTATGTATGTATGTATGAATGTATGTATGGACTGGTACAATTTAAGGTATGGATGCCAGTCAGTGTCTCGTCACCGTTTGATACGATCTGTTTCTATGGGATGCACATACTCTGTAGGTTTGGGAATATAGTTTCCCAATCCCTTTTTTTCTTTTTTTAATTCTTAAAATTTCTTTAGGTGGGGAACTTAATCTACTAGTAAGGGGAAGTTGTAAGTCGGCTATCGATAAAGATGCTCCGCAGAAAATTTGA